GGGGAGGCAGAGGGCAGAGCCGCGGAGGGGGAGGAGGTGGCGCCCGCCCCTGCCCCTCACCGTCGTTATTCGTGTCCATTTGGCGGAAGATTTTCTCCGTCCTCTTCTCCGGGGTCGACTCGTCCTCCGGCATCTTCATCACCGACGAAACCATCTTGTAAATGGCCTGGGGGTTGGAGGGGAAGGCGGGGAGTGAGAGGAGGCTGCCGAGCACCCCCCACCCCAACCTTCAGAAGCGCCCCAGGTACACTGACGAATGGAGAGGGGGTCAGGGGGCGTGGGGGCCCCGGGGGTCCGGGAAGGAGTGTCTGGAAAGGTTTCCCAGGAGGGGGGTCTGTAGGCGAGGGCCCAAACCAAGTTCCGAGGCGCGCTAGGTGGGAGAGGAGTTGCTGACCGAGGGCTATGCATATCCAAAGAGCGCAGCGGGAAGCTCCGAGCGGGCGCAGACAGTTTGGGGGTAGCTGAGTGCAGGGGGTGAGCAGAGATGTGGGAAGACATGGGGCTGCAGGTTCCCGGGTAAGCACGGTTTTAGCGCTGTTTCTCGGAAACTCCGGGTGCCCCGCGCTGGGCACGGACAGAGGGAATTGGGCTGCGGCAGGTGGCACTGGGCTGCGGTACCGCTGTGGCCGGCAGGGGGCGCTGGGCCACCTTGAGGGCTGGAAGGCCGGAGGCTGCAGGGCCCAGAGGGGGCGGGGAATGTTATGCAAATAAACGCAAATGAGCACCTGCCGGGGGCGGGGACAACCTGGACTCCGCGGGACCCTAGGCAGTAGTTGCCCACGTGCAGGAGCTCCGAGGCACACCAAGGGGGGTGGGGGGTTGCGCTAAAAGTACACAGAGCACGTGGGCTTGGCGGGTGGGATAGGCTCAAGGACCGGGCCGATGGTCTCCATCTTCCAGCTTTTTGCTACTGAAGCCACCTCCAAGAAACCTGCTCCCCTTCGCCCTTACCACAAATGTACCCTGCCTCAGATCCGGCTTTAGCCTCCACCTGGTCTCTCCCAGCCTCATTCCCTGGGTCTGTGCCCCCACGCTGCCTCCGAGAGCTCTTTCTAAACACAGATCTCCACCACCACGTCCCCAGCCCAGCTGGCCGCCCCCTCTTTCCAGTCATCCGCAGGCCTCCCTCCAGACCTGCCGTGCACTCAGCTCCTTCTGGATGCTGCCCCACGCTTCTTCTGCTGCCTCCCACTCCTTGCGGCTCAGCTTCCATGGCGCTTGCCTAGGGAGCCCTCCTCTGATCCATGCTGGTCAGGGCCCATATGCCCGCCCGGAGCCTCCTGGGCTTCTCCTTAGGGGACACCGCAGGGGACGCCTTTGTTGGATTGTTCCTAGTCCCCAACATACCAATAAGGACGGTGGACATCTAGCTAGTGCCCATATCCCCAGAGCTGAGCACCGTGCCCGGCTTCTGGCAGGAACTTCCCTTTTAAAAGCCACTGGCACCTCCCGCTGCCCTCTGTACCAAGTCCAAGCCATTTGGCCCTTGGCGTTCAGAGTTTTTACAATCTGGTCCCTCTGACCCCTCCACTATCAGGCCTCCACTGGTAGGTGATTCTGCCGCAACTAAACACTCCTGCACCTTTCCGGTTCCCCAGCATTGACAGCCTCTGCCTGGAACGATCATACCAGCTACCATTTATGTGTCAGGTACTTTATCCCTATTTTCCAGATAAGAAATAAAGGCTCAGGACAGGAATTCATGGCAGAGACCAGATTAGAACCCACTTCCTCTTAGTTGCTGGAGAGATGCTTGTGGGGTGGTGATCATCAGTGGGGGCTGTGAGGTAAGGTGGACCTGGAGTGGCATCCTGTTTCCACGAATCACTTGCTATGTAGCCTTAGACAAGTACTTAACCTCTGGGAGCCCCAGTTTCCTCATCTGTAAAATGGGGTAATCATATCTCCCTCGTGGGGATTGTCTAACGGATTAAATGAGACCATGTGTATAGAACAGTGACTGGCTAGAGTAAGTAGTAGTCAGTAAACAGCAGCTTGTATACTAATTGTTACTCATCCACCACATCCTCAGTTCTTCCCTGACCTTCAGTGCCCTGAGCTCCCAGATGCCACATTTACGACCCTGTCACCAAGCTGGGCAGTGTGGCCTGCCCACCAGGGTGGGAGCCCCAAGCAGCCAAGATGCAGTTTCTTCCCTTCTAGTGTACTGACCACAGGACAGGGTCTGAGAAGGACTGAGCAAGTGACTTAGTGAACGCCCCCTTTCGGGCCTCCTAATTAATTGTCTGGAATTGCTGCTCACTGTTGTTTCCCTGGAGCTGACTTGTAATTAATCAGGCACTGGGGCTTGCCTCACTCTGCACTGGCCTCTGGGGCTGACTGATGGGCTGTAGTGAGGGAAACCAGGGCCCAGCCCGCAGAGGTCAGCCAGGCCGTCCCGAGGATGCCCAGGGAATGGGACTGGCTGGCGCCCCCAGCAGGGCTGAGATTTACCAGTATACACCAGTGCAACCACGCTAAGTGGTAAAACATGAACACCCCGCCACATTGGTTGGTATCCAGCTGCTGCCCAACCCCTCAGTAATCCTCCACCACTCTGGCTACCTCAACCTTTCCACCAGAACCCCCAGAACTCCCCACTACCCATCAACTAGAGATTTAATGCCTGGCCCGCGGGAGTCACTGACAAACGTAAAGGCTTTCCCCTCTTGACAGGCAAAGGGAGGCACCACATCCCAAGGCAGCCCATTCTACTCTAGCTGGAGAGAGCAGACCCAGGCCCTAGTGACAGAGAAGCCGACGAGTCCAGTAGGGCGAGGTGAGTTAGAAGTGGGGAGCAGTCGGCATAGCTGAGGGACGAAAAGAAAGGCGGAAGGAAAGGGAGCAAGGGCTTGAGCAAAGCTGTGCAGCAGGATTACTCAGGGCACATTCCAAGGCCATTCCGGCTGGAGCAGAGAATGTGCAAGAAGAGAGTCACAACGTTTACGAACCAACTGTCTGCGGGGCCTTCTGCCAGAGTCCCTTCCCACTTTACACCTATCGTAGCCTTGAGGGTTAACATCCTCACTTTACAGGTGAAGAAACAGAAGCTCGGGTACAAGGAACTGGACGGGTAAAAAGAGAACCAGAGCCTTGATGGTCTTTAGTGCTGCGCTGAGGGCATGGACAGTCCGGAAGCTTTTTGAGATAAAGCTAACATGTCACACTTACATTTGTATTAAAATGGCATTCTTATCAGGTCCTAGATTCTCCCTGTAAGATCAGAATTTTTCAGATGAGCTATCTAAGAGTTGAGTCCAACTCCAGAATGGGAAGCCAGACCCTTTTCAAGAGGTAGCTCTGAGTGGTAGCCAGCTTGAGCTTGACCCCTCTTATATGCTGTGTGACCTTGGACAAGTCACTTCACCTCTCTGAGCCTCATGAGGCTGCTGTAAAGATGCACTGAGCTCGTGGCTGTAAGCACGAGGCTATTAGAGAGTCCTGAATTAATTATTTGGATTGTGGCTGGGTGTCCAGATGGAATGTGGACTGTGAATCCAGGTGGCCCACTCACAGGCTGTGTGGCCTCGAGCAAATGTCTTTACCTCTCTGAGCATCTGTTTTCTCTTGAGTAAATGAGGATCAATTCAACATAACTGGCCTGTCCTCTGCAGGAATGTCAAATCTTGAAAGACAAAGAAAGGCTGAAGAACTGTTACAGACTAACAGGGACTAAAGAGACACGAAAACAAAATGCAATGTGTGATCCTAGATCAGGGCAAAAGAGAGTATTATGAAGACATTTGGCAAAATTGGAATATGGTCTGTAGGTTAGATAACAGCATTGTTTCTGTGTTAAATGCCCTGACTTTGATGATCATATTGTGGGCTATGTAAGAGGATGTCCCTGTTCTTAGGGACTATATCCCGATGTATTTGGGGGTAAAGGGTCCTGTCCGGAACAACAAAACATTACACACATGTGCACACACACAATGATAAAGCAGTGGTGTTCAATATTGATTGGTGGATCTGGCTAAAGGGTTTATGGGAGTTTACTCAACTTTTCTTTAAATGAGAAAAGATTTCCTAATGAAAGAGTTTTTTAAATGGGCTGTAAGAATAGCACCTGCTGCCTCCCACCCACAGGGCTGTCAAGAGGATGAAAAGGGGTGGGGGTGCACGCTGCTGGGCCCTGCACCTGGCATTCTGCGGGGCCCAGGGGCCCACCTGCACAATCTCGAGCATCTCCTCGCGGCTGATGTAGCCGTTGCCGTCCAGGTCATACATGCTGAAGGCCCACATGAGCTTCTGCTCCAGGCGGCCACGCGAGGTCACGCTCAGCGCGATGATGAACTCCCGGAAGTCAATGGTGCCATCGCTGTTGGTGTCGAAGGTGCGGAAGACGTGCTCAGCGAACTTGGAGGCGTCACCATAAGGGAAGAAGTTGGCGTAGATCTTCTTGAATTCGTCCACGTTGAGGATGCCCGTGGGGCAGTCCTTGAGGAAGCCCTTGTACCACTCCTGCAGCTCCAGCTCCGAGAACTCCGTGTTCTCCCGCAGGTCTTGCAGCATCTCGGGCCGAAGCTTGCTGTTCTGCTTGCCCATGGCCACTGAGCTGAGTCCTACCTAGGTCCCCCAGAGAGTCAAGGAATGGAGAGGGGAAGTCAGGCCCTCCTGGTCCCTTGACACCACTCCAGGAGGGCCCCAAACACCAGACACCCAGCCTCTCTTTTGACTCAGTGAGAGAGAGGAGCTGGCCCAGGTCACAGCCTGCACCCAGGCATCCTGCCTCCGTGACAGGCTCCACACCATTTCCCCAGACCTCACCCTTCCCCAGGGAACAGCCCTGGAGACAGGAAGGGAAGGGGCTTACATTCACTAAGGCCCTGCTCAGGGCCAGCCACTGGGCCTTCACAGATATACACCACTTCACCCTCCCAAAGGGAAGCCTGGGGGTTAGTCCCATTTTACAGATGAGAAGACAGGATCAAGGGAGTGAGGTGACCTGGTTCAAGTGTCACAGCCATGGAGTCACAAGACTGACTCCCAGCGTTTCCCAGGGAGGTGCAGAGCGGCCTTCTGGTCCGCCTCCCTCCTCCCCACGGCCCCCTCATTGTCTCACATATGCCTGATGACCACGAAATACACCTGCAGCCCACCCACTGGCCTGTTCTCCCACACACTTGTGCCCCACAGCGGGTGGCATAAGATAGGTGTTGGCGTGGGCTCTAGAGTCAGACCACCTGGGTTTAAGTCCCAGCTCTGCCTCTTACCAGCAATGTGACCTTGGGCAATTTCCTTAAACTCTCTCTGGCCCATCTGTAAAGTGGGGTAACAGTACCTACCTCATGAGGGTTGTGGAATCAAATTAGTTAACACATGGGAAGCATTTAGAATGTCTGCACATGTAAGTGCTAGATAAGTGTTAAATAAATAAAAATGATTTCCATGTACTAGATGCCGCAAGACGCATGCACCACACACAAATGAGTGCATACTGACACATGACACACGGCTCACCAAATCCATATGCTGGGTCCCATGCCACATTCCAGCCCACACCCACCCATGGGTCACCATGCCTCCACACGCAACAACATTCCCTCTGCTCTCCAACTCACATGGGAGGACACAGGGCAACACGCATGCACAACTCTCATACCCTTCCCATCACAACATGCCAGCCCATGATCCCACATGTCATCACAAGCCAACTCCCCTGCCGACACCTCGCATGTGGCCAGCTGCACATGGGACCCTCAGGCTCCCTTGCCATCTTTCTCTCCCCAGGGGCGCTGCCGGGTCCCAGGACAGGGAGCTGCAGCCCTTCTCAGACCTCGGTGGGTCCCTGCAGCCAGCCAACCCTCCCCAGCACTCACCTGGCCTCTAGTCCAGAAAGGTCCCCCGCGTGCAGGAGCTTAGAGCGTGGAGGGCTGAGGGGACAGCAACGGAGAGACAGCCAGGCAGTTCTGGGCAAAGATGCGGGAGTACGTGCAGGTGAATCTCCCCGGCTTAGGGCTGTGCGACAGGGCGAGGGGGTTCCTTGTGTGTGAATTTGCACGCAGCTCTGTGCACATGTGGGTGAGTGTGTGTGTGAGTGCATGTGCTCATGTATGCACGTGTGTCTCTGGCTTCTGCACTGCATGTGTCTCCCCATGTGCCTCAATCCCTGTCTGTGCATGTGCATGTGACCAGGTATGCACCCCTCACAGTGAGGGAGATGTGCCCGTGTGTGCCCCCAGCAGTCTCACATGCATGTTTCTGTAAGTTGGCCGCCCTCCCTTCTAAACCAGCCTCTCCTGACCCAAGCCGAGGGTGAACAAGTGTGTGGGAGGGACTGAGGACAGGCCTGGGGCCGGGGTGGCCGAGTGTGTCCCCTAGTCCCTCCTCAAGGTCCAAGGAACTGGGTCATGGGGTGGGGGCAGAGAGGTGCGCCGGGCAGGAGAGAGCTTCCCGGGCCCCCTCTTCCCCGCCACCCTCGGAGCTGCCCCTCCCGGGTGGAAGACGTGGAAATGACGGTGGTAGAAGATTCTGTTGTCTCGCAAAGACCCCAGTCCCCACAATGGGGCGGACTCACAGCTCGACCTGGGGAACCTGCCTGGGGACCCTCCCTGGACCTCTCCGCAGCTCTCGCCCCGAGCCCCGCCTCCAT